TATATATATATATATATATATATTTTTTTTATGTATATATATAGATATAAAAATATGTTATTATGTTATTGTTTTGTGTGTGCGTACGTACATACATACATACATAATTTTGCTACAATATGCCAAACCAAAGCTGAAGTGATCAGGGTACAGTTTAAATCACACTTACAGACATTCAATTTTGATATTAATTCAAATTAGTGAATACCACTTTTTAAATCCACCACAATGCCGCTACTATTACAAAAAATCAAGCATACCATATTTTTTTGGAGTATAAGACGCACCAAGGTTTTGAAGAGGCAAATTTTTTTTAAAAAAGTTTTTGCACTCTGCAAACCTCCCAAAATGGCCCGTTTTTCACAAAAATGGGCCCTCCCCCCCCAAAAAAAGGCATGAATAGCCTTTAGGGTGCATGCAGAGTGCTCCTGGGGGGTGGGAGCCCCCAAAACAAGCAAAAAAGCAGGCCCGTTTTTTGTCAAAAAAATTGCATGCACAGCCTTTAGGAGGCTTATAGAGTACTCCTGGGGGCTGGGGAGGGAGGCAAAATTGAGCAAAAGAAATGGCGCATTTTTCACTCATTTCTGCCCTCCCCAACCCCCAGGAGTTATCTGAAAGCTTTTTACAGGTTCTGCACGGCCATTTTGGTGAAGGGGCGGGGTTTCGGGAGGCAAAAAAATGCTGTGTTCAGTGTGTAAGATGCATCCAGATTTTCAGTCTCTTTTTTGTGGGGAAAAGGTGCGTCTTATACTCTGTAAAATACGGTAATTTTACCACAGTTGCATTCTATAACCAGTTTTCTGTGATTAAACAAAAATGTTTATATCCCAATTACAGTGGTACTTCAGTACTCATCATTAATTGGTTCCAAGAGGCACAATGAGTACTTAAAAAGTACTCAATGAAATTGAGTTTGATACCCTTGCTATACAGCAATCATTCTACTTCTGCTTCTCATTATAATAAGTTCTAAAAATTGTGATATTTTGCTATAGCTGCATATAGAAAATTAGCATCTTCTCAAGCATTAAATTCTTCTCACCAATTGTTCAATCATTTTATTAGTCAGAAGTAGTTTTACATTGTTATACCATGGAAAAGGAACATTGTTTATATCTGAAAATGAATATTTTCTAGCTTTTCTGTTCTTATTTATAAAGATAGCTAACATTTCATCTAGAAACAGACATTTCAGATAGTTTAGAAGTGAAATATGAAATACTTTTAGTGACAGATTCTCTTGTGTTTTTTTTTAACTTAGGTGAATGAAAGAGGTGGACAGATAATACAGTATGATAGATTCTACATACATGAAATACAGGATTTGATTGATATAAGAAATGACTATTTCAACTGGATCCAGCAGCAGGCATATGGAATGGTAAATGTCTTAATTTTTGCTCCCACTGTATCTTTTAATACATGACCACATAGGTACATGACCATGTAGATAGTGTAGTTCTTCATTTTTATTACTTCCGACCATTAGGGAGCACGTTGCATGATTTTGGCCATATAAAATTTGGCTCTGGTGAGAAACATGGGTCATTTGGCTGTGTTTTCTTGTAGGGATGTTCTGTCCTGTGGCAAAATATGTCTAAGACAGATTTATGTTGGGATAAAGCTGTATTACTATTATTCTTCCCTCCCTTTCTAGTACCAATCTCTTTCCTCTTATGACTATAACCATGTTGCTTGTATCTTTAAAATGTATATTGTTTCATTTGTTTCCTAGTATAATTTGATTGCTTATTAGTAACCTATGACTACCACTAAGTGTTGTATCATGATTCTTGATGAATGTATTCTATTTTATTTTTCTTTATGTACAATCACACTTGGCCAATAAATAATTCTATTCATATGTCCGTATGTCTTTATCAGCATTAGAGAAGCTGATATATATGCTTTTAAAGTAGTTACGGGTCCTCTTTGCAGCATGGTGGTAAAGCACATTGTCCTGTTACTCTGCCAACTTCAGAGAGGAGTTTTAGCAGTCTCCGTTGCTAAACAAACAGCAGACAATCACAATGTCCCATCATCACCATTTGCAATCTTGAGCTGGCTTTCTCATTGGTTTTCCTTGTTGGAAGCCATCAATGAAGGTAACAAGTGGCAATCACGGGACGCTGCAGTGTTGTAATTGGGAGCTGGTTGCCAAGCGCCCGAATCCACAATATTGATTATGGGGATGTTGCAACAGCCACAACTCTGAGGCAGGTTGGAAGTCGTCTCTGTTCAAAACCATCCTAATTTCAAGCAGTCAGTGAATAAGTGGTCATTAAATGGGAACTGTCTGTATCAAGTATGTGGCGCTGAGTTTAGGCAGAACAGTAGAGGAAGTGACATAAACTGCAGTTAGAAGAGAAAAATAAGATGCAAAACTTGGCCTCATTTGGACACTTGTAATTGCAAAGTAAGATTGTATCCAGTGAACCCCTTGGGCTACTTAAAGTGTCAGACGATAATAGCCAATTAAATTTTTAAAAGCCCATTTATTCTGGGTTTAAAAGGTTAAAGATGTCCTTGAATTAAGCTATAATTAGGAAATTAGCAGCAACAGCAGCACAAAAATAGTTTGCATTCTTCTAGGATGTTCTTACAATTTCTGCTGTTCTAGAATTCCATGACAATTTTCCATTTGATTACTAGTGAAATTTTGATTTTGTTGACACTGAGCTTTCTGAATAGAGAATGTGGGGAGGGGAAGGAGAAAAATATGTAGCTTTTTTTAAAAGAATGGCTGCCCTAATGTCAGACTAATTTTGTTGAGACACTTCACAATTCATATCTAACTGTTTTCTGTATTAAGAAAATCTATCTTGCTGGTTGGTCCCTTAGAAAACTTGACAAGTATTAATTAGTGTTACATGCATATTGTATTAAATGTCAAGTACAAACCTGAATACTTTTCATACTGTTTATAATATGGGGACAAAATGATATATCTGTGTTGGAGATGTGACAGATTACCTGGGTTGTGAGTGTCTCTTGTTCAGAATTGTTTATCTCAAGCTTCTGGTGTGTTTCTTGTTTTGATGAATTGTCAAGCACTAATTGAGATAATAGCCAAGGTCCGAACATGGTCTCTTAGTTTATACTGAACGTTGTACTAAATCTGAGCTTCAAAATCAATGTTTTGGAACTGCAAAACTTTTGCATCACTAAATGACTTTAATCAAAATGCTGGGACCTTGTTAAAACGCCTTTCTGCCTTCAAGTATATCCATGATCTACCCAGATATGTTGCACTGTGTAGGCTATCCTTGTTTGACTTCACACGTCTCAGTGAGGCATGGCATCTGTTGTTTCTCCACTCCTTCTGTGTATCTTAGGTCTGAAATATTTTTGGAATTGTTTTGGAGAGTAGCCGAGGGGCAATTTAGAATAAATGGAATAGAAATATTGATTGAGAAATCTTCTTCTGCTGTTAATAACTCAAGAAATGGAAAGCTCTGTTTTGTTTGCCCATTAAGAGTGTTATTTTGTCAAAGCCTCTAAGAATGATTGAAGAGAATACTGGGAATAATTGTTTTAAGTGGCTGATACTGGAGATCCCTATTCTTCCGCAGCAAACTGATTTATTGGTTGACATGATCTTGTTAGAACTTGCCTTTCTGTTTCTGTCTCATCCTTTCACTTAATGATTTACTGCAGGCTCAGCAGTTTCAGAGTAAAAACACTAGAACTTTAATATTAAGAGCTTGTAGTGTCCAAAGAACCATAAATAGGGCACAAAAAAGGACACTGCAGCATAGCACCCCCATTGAACTTTGGAGGTGACATAGTGATATACTCTGGGTAGGGTTGGAGCATGGAGGCAATATCCTTATCTTAGTCTTTGCTCATTGTTGTCTTATCAGCTCCATTCCCTGTAAGCATAAAACAGTGTGGGCATTTTAGAGAAACGAATTTATTCTTGAGGTTTGGCACTGTAAGAAAATGGAAATTCACATGCCCAAATTAACTGTACTTTTTCCTCTTAATTACTGCTGCCTTTGGTGCATTGTGAATAGGATATCAGCCACGGATTAAATGAGGTAAGTGATTATCAGAATAACAGTTTAGGAACCAGACAGAACAAAATTAATTTTTTGGGTTTATTCATAGACCTTGAGCTTACACTGATAATATCCACTTGGAAACTACTTTGATCAGATCTGGATTATCAAAGAAGAAACTGCATATAATTAATGTATAAACAATAAAGATTTCTCAACTGCATCTATTGACTTGTACACTTAAACTTAGCTTCTTGTTGTAGTGAACCTTTAGTTCATAAATTAAACAATGTTTTTTTTCATTTTTTTTAAGTAATTCTCCCCCCCCCCTTTTTTTTTTTTAAGGTGTCAGAGGGACCAGTTACAATTTGCACCTATCCCTTCGTATTTGATGCCCAAGCAAAGACAACACTCTTGCAAACAGATGCTGTCCTGCAGATGCAGGTAAATTAATATGGCTTTACTATTTTTAAAATAATGTGCAGAGCAAGTATGATTATTCCTTGATTAATTTGACCAAAAAGTGTGTGCTTTGCCTTTTCAGAATAAGTAACTTTTCCTGCATCTTCATTATTTGAAATATGCTTTATATATTTCTTATAAAAGGGAAACTCTGGGCACTGGTTTTGGCTAAGAATCACTTTTGGCCTTGAATAGTTGGCTGTGGCTTGGCTTGTCACTTTTCAGAATGGGAAGAGATATTAGTGTAGTCAGAATCAAAGCTAAATATTATTTAATTCAAGTGACATAAGTACATGCATACCAATCACACTGTTCCCTTTCTGAGATAAGGAACATTATACCAAAAAAAGTAAAAAATTATAAGCCAAAGAAATTAAGGCAAGAGATTTGGGGGGGGGGGAATTAATAACTCTAGGTTATACTGGCACTATATCCATCCATGTCTTTCCAGTCTTGCAACATCTTTCTTTCTACAAAGTCTGTAAACTGCTTTTTCACTGCCTTTTTGTATAAACTTTCCACCACTCTTTCTGAGGATCTCATTAACTGCGGTCATGATTTTTGGGCCTTCTTCTTAGCACATTCATTCCTCCTTCGTGCATTTCTTTGCAGTTCAGGCCTTATGGATTCCCTCTATCTGACCAAACCATCTCAAGTCCACATTAATTCATCACTCATTTATTCCTGATTCCCTCTCTGTTCCTTAAAAAATTAATTTCTGCTGCATTCCACTTACTTTTATATTTCCCTCAATATTCTGCTTTGTATAACAAAGCTATTTTATGTTTGACAGTCATTCTCTTCCTTACAGCAGATTAAATACTATCCACTATTTTCTGAAATGGTATAGGGTGTCCTGCTTGAGAAGGAGGCTGGACTAGAAGACTTCCAAGGTCCCTTTCACCTCTATTCTGATTCACTACATTTTTTAATCAGCATTCATACATTCTAGTTTGCCATTTATATGTAACTTTCAGCTGTTCAATTCATTTTCCTGTCCAATTCAACTATCTCTATATTTTATACATTAATTTTCAATTTAAATCACCAATTGCTATGTACAATCTTACATTCTTTAAATAATTAAGATTCTTAGTTTCCCACATAGATCAGCTGCATTAAAAGTATAGCTTGTTCAGATTCCCAACAATACTTCCTAATATCACTGTGAGCATGTAGAGTATGTTGAAGTAATGCATTCAGGAAGTGACTAAGGTATGAGTGACTGAAAGCAATGCGTCCCAGTCCATAATGGGGCACAGCTGGTGCACAAAGTTGTGCAAAAGCCCTCCTATGTCAGGCATGGAAGCCATCTTTTGCATTAGGCCTTCTGGCCTGCCACATTCAATGCTGTGGGAAATTGGGAGGGGGGATTATATGGAGTATGGGAGATATATAGTCATAATAACATTCCTTTCTCAGAGAACAAGGACATCTTGCTCTGAATCTGGAACGGCATGACTAGAAGGCATCTCCAGTTTTGGACAGTACCTGGTTGGACCATGTGATGGGCATGTGGGTGCTGGGCAGGAATCTGGACTTTTAAGTTGGGTGGGAGAAAACCTGGAAACTTTCATATTCGGGTTTTCCCAGATGTGCCAATGTGCTATCTCTAATAAAATGGAACTTTGAGAAACTTCAAGTCTTGGAATCTTCTTTAGTTGGGGGTGACATCCTGGTTAGGACTACCACCGGCTGTTTGAGTCCAGGAGGACCATAAGTTGCACATTAATTCCATTCATTAGATGGAAAATTCTTAGACCCAGGGAGCCCTAAAATCTACAGCCACTCGGTTTTGCCAGGGTTGAACTGATCCCTGTTCTTCCCCATTGAGCCCTGAATGGCATCCAGACACTGAGACAGTATCTTCAAAACATCACTTGGTCAGTCTGGCTTGGAAATGTAAAGCTAGGTATCAATGCTTGTTAAACAGAATGGGGAGAGCGTTAAGCCCTAAGGACCATGGTAGAGAAGGGACTTTGGGCTTGATCTCTTCCCCCCACCCCCACCCCAGTCAGCATCGCCTGGACCAAAATCTGGCTAATACCCTCCCCAAAGTCATCTGATCTTGCTTTTCCATTATCACCATTCACCATCCACTCAAATACAAATTCCTAGATTTGTATGCATCCAGAGGAGCTTAAATTACACCAGTTTATACTTTCTGCTTTACATTTTAAACTTTTCATTCACGATTATATCCATTCATTTACATTCTATATGGGTTTATCAGATGAATTCCACAAGAACAGTCCCATCTTCATTGCAAACTTTTATAGTCTTCTCCTTTCTCTTAGTTTTACTTTGCTTGTTTATCTTAGTTTCACAAATACATAGGTATTTTATTTGTTTCTTCATTCGTTTCCTTCCTTCCTTCCTTCATCATTTATGCCCTTTACCATTTTACATTCCAATCATAATATCCCATATCATGTAAATTGCCAATAGATAGGCCATAAGACTGAGCTCCATTGCCCATCATGGCTTGAATCACTTGAGTTTCCATGTGCTTTTTTTTTTTTTTTTTAGTAAAGATAGAAAAAGTGTACACAAGGGCACCAGGATAACTCCAAACATTCACAAGCTGTTCTGTGCAATCAGGGTCTTCAACAGCAGAGTATTTTGTGTTCAGTGTTCTTGATGTCAGGGTTCCCAGTAACACCCCCAACGAAATAAGACTGAAACTTGAGTTTCCTCAAAGTTCCATTTTATTAGAGATGCCATATTGGCACATCTGGGAAAACCCGAATCTGAAAGTTTCCAGGTCTTCCCCAGTCAAATGAACATTCAAGTCCCTGCCTAGCACCCACATGTCCATCACATAGTCCAAATAGGCACCGTCCAAAACTGGAGATGCCTCCCAGTCACGCCATCACAGCTGCAGGGCAAGGTGTCCTTGATTTGCAGAGAAAGGAATGTTATTTAGACTATATATCACCCATACTCCATACAATCCCTGCTCCCGTTTTCCCACAGCAGAAAATGTGGCAGCCTGAAGGCCCAACGTAAAAGATGGCTTCCAGGTCTGACAGTTGGCTTAATGCTACCAGCTCAGAGAAACACACAGTGTACTGAAACACATTCAATATCATGCAATTTAAATTTATAAAACGTAAGTTAATGAAATACAGCCTGTATGGTTTTTCTCAGAGTGCTCCTTTAGTCACGCTGAACATTGCAGTTTCATGAAAAAAAAAATGTGGCTGGCACACTGATGGAGAATTGAGCCTTTGGGCTTCTGGCTGAGTTTCTGACATCCTGTGTTCCTGCAGTTGCCAAACAACCCCTAGAACATCATCATCATTATTGTTGAGCATTGATGAGGTCAGAGCAAGCTTTAGGCAGCAAGAAATTTCTTGGTTGGGAACAATGGGCTTGTTCATCTGTGGGGAAAGAAGATGGAGAAAAACTTTGCTCTAAGGGGCAAATGCTGGAAATCACCATTAATCTAATTTTACTAACAACTGATGCATTTTCTTGAATGTAAACTCTGTCTTCGTCCCATGTTCACGACTATAACTGCTACTCCTAAGGCTTTTACTTGGTTTTTCCCAGATGGCTGTTGACCAGGCTCACAGACAGAATTTTTCATCTATTTTTCTCCCAGTATTTGAATCTGTCAATCCATGTCTGATCTTAATTGTGCGCAGAGAAAATATTGTGGGGGATGCCATGGAAGTGCTAAGGAAAACAAAAAATCTAGATTACAAGAAGCCTCTCAAGGTAGGTCATGTTGGCATATTTTAAATTCTTGATACACATCAACTTAACAATTGTGATTCTCCCTCCTCTGCTCTTTCCCTTCTAAAGGTCCATCTTGGGAATGGCCATTTTGGGAGGCCAACATTTTGAGCAGAAAAACAGCTGGCCCATAAAGGATTCTAGTAGTCCCAGCCATTCAAAAATGCTATCACTGTTATTTATTTATTTTTTTAAAAACTGGAATTTCATTAATTATTTGAATATCAAAATTAGGAGCAATTTGAAATCCATGTCAAATTGTTTCTTAAAAAATACGTATATTCTGTTATCCGTGCACCAAATCTGTACTTGAATATAACAATTATAACTTTGTATGCTAACTTCATTGCCAATGTTAGGTTATTTTTGTAGGCGAAGAAGCGGTTGATGCAGGTGGAGTCCGCAAAGAATTTTTCTTGCTTATTATGAGAGAACTGCTCGATCCCAAGTATGGAATGTTTATATATAATGACGTTTCGAGACTGATCTGGTTCTCAGATAAGGTATGTAATCTATATGATGGGGGTGTTTTTGCTAGTGGAATGGCGGTGAATAGATCTTGGTTTGGCTTGCAAACTGACCCTAAGTGTGCTTAAAAAAAGACTATTCTAATTATACCAGTTCACATCAGCTGTTTTCTTGTGGTTCATGATGGGATTTCTGCATTTGGCCTTGTGCTTCAGCTTGGATGGATTACCTTCCCACCTTTCTATATATCTGGCAGCTGTATCTGGTTATGAACTTTCTGGTAGAGGTCTGGTATTGGTCATTTGTTGGGGAGAAGAACATTTGCAATGGAGTGCGAGGCAGGACTTAGATATGGGACTTCTGAGTTGTGGTTTGTTTTATTTTAGGAAAACATATGTGCTGCTTTTCCATTTGCAACGTTAAAATTAACATACAGTTAACAGCATTATATGAAAATCAGTAGGATAAGCAAAAACAATTGAAGAACAAATAGACCTTTCAAAAAAAGCAAATAGTTGCATCAAACCTGGCACCAGATGAGCATCTAGAAAGATAATTTTTGCAATGGAAGAGCAATGTGGAAAAGGGCAATTTCCCTAATCATGATCTGTCCTGTTTCAGAAAATGTTTAGAGTTGAAGAATTGTCTAAGAGTATTATGTTGTCCCTTCAGCCAGATTGAGTGCAAAAGAGCACATAAACATTTGCTTTAAGCAGCTTTAAAGATTGAAATATCTCAATTTGTGCTCAAAGGTGCACAAAGGAAGTTATGGTGGACTAGTGTCATATGCAGCATTTCTTTTCTCCAATTTTCTTTTGCAAATCAACAGTTCTCTGGGACACATTGAGCTGAAAGAACAGCTGCTTCATAGTCACCCAGTGAAATTTTGTGGCTGACTATGAACTTGAGTCTTTCCAGTACTAACCCACTACACCAGTGGGTTGTATATGACCTTTGAAAGCCATTTACATACCGTGTTTCCCCCAAAATAAGAAAGGGTCTTAAGCACTAGACCTTATTTTCAGGGAGGTCTTATTATTTTTGAGGTGCAGGAGGCAGTGAGCAGTTTCACCTCATGGCTGCTGCTGCTGCATTGCAATAGATTCAGGGAGGGCTTATTTTTGGGACAGGCTTATTTTAGCGCATGCACTCAAAAGCCCGATTGGACTTACTATCCGGGGAGATCGTATTTTCAGGGAAACATGGTAATCCACACAAGTCTTGCCTAGTCTCCCCTTCTCCTACTCCTAGGTAGGCTGCAAGGGACCATCATGTAGGAATAAAGGACTGAAATTCACTGTGTCCCTAAATTAAGAACTGTGTAGTACTTAGCACTTTCTCCCTCTTCCCCCTACCCCTCAGCTCTCTGAAAAAGAGAGAAAGAGAGAGCATGTGTTAATAAGCATATGTGTGCAGGCCCTTGTGTATGTGCATGATCTATGTACAGGAGTGGCTCTTCAAACCTGAGCAGCAATTTCAGAGCCTAAGTGGTTCCTCAGCTCTGCATTACGGTAACACTGGCAGGATGTTGCCGGAGCCTAGAGATAATGGCCGAAGTATTTTAGCAGAGAAGAAGTTGCAAGAGTAAACCAATATAACTGATGAATTGTACACAGAGTTGTATTGCTTCTAAGGATGCCAATGGGAGCCTTAACTTGCTAATTTGATACTTCGGCAAAAAGGGGGTCCTATTTATTCTTTGAAGTTACCCTCTGATCTGGGGTAACAGAGTGCACTCTCCATCTTCTTCCTTTGACCAACCTCATGTTGTGCCAGGCGACATTTGACTCCTACCTATGTAGTGGCCAATATCAGTTCAATTTATATAATATGGGAGGATTGTTAAAGTAGACAATTGTTCTTTTTTTCTGAGAGAAAGCTGGTTAGAATAGGGGTATCAAACTCAAGGCCCACGGGATAGATCCAGCCTGCTAGGTGCTTAGATGTGGCCTGTGGGGCCGCCCTGGAATCAATGAAGGACCGGTCCACAGCAAAAACTGAGCTCGGGGGGGGGGGGGGGCTGCACATGGCCCTCCTGAGTTTCATTTTCACTGGCAGAGGGTTGCAGGAGGCCGTCACAGCTGAAAACAGAGCCCATGAGGGCTTCATGTGGCCCTCCCGAGCTCCATTTTTGTTGGCAGAGGGTTGCAGGAGGCCATGGTAGCCAAAAATGGAGCTCGGGAGCCCATTTTTTCTGGCTGAGTACTTGGGCTGACACGGGCGCCACTGGCATGAGAGATGTCAAAATGGCCATCCCCCCCCTGCCACCATCCCCGCCCCGCAAAGTCAAGCACAACCCTGATGCGGCCTTCAATGAAATCAAGTTTGACACCCCTGGGTTAGAAGAATCTTTAATAATGTAGATTCCAGTCTGAAACAGATGAGTTAATTTTCAGTGTTTTGGCTTTCAAAAAAGTTCAAATTTTACTTGAGGTTTAACACTTATTAAACACACATTACTTGTAGAACTCAGATAATGTGAAGTTCTTCATGGAACAATGTAGCTTAACATTATTTGCTTTGCTTTCTGTTGAATTATTTTTCCTTTGTATTCACAGACCTTTGAAGACAGTGACTTGTTTCATCTGATCGGTGTTGTTTGCGGACTAGCAATATACAATTTTACTATTGTAGAACTTCACTTTCCATTGGCTTTATATAAGAAGCTCCTGAACAAGAAACCTTCCCTGGAAGACCTCAAAGAGTTAATGCCTGATGTTGGCAGGTGAACACAATTGTAGTTGATATTAGAAATTACATAGAAATTACATTATCTATGCTTTGGCTTGTTTCATCAGAGAAAAGAATTAAGTTCTGTATTGTTAATCAGAAGATAACTTAATAAATGTTGCTTACTTTGCACTACTTAGACTGTTAATATAAACACATTTGTGGTTTAATTAATTTTGATTTCATGTTCTTGATTAAAAACACAAATCTAATGATAATGAGAAGCATTTGATGCAGTTGTGGGATTCAAACAATTTTACTACCAGTTCTGTGGGCGTGGCTTGGTGGGCGTGGCAGGGGAAGGATACTGCAAAATCCCCATTTCTTCTTGATCAGCTGGGACTTGGGAGGCAGAGAATAGATGGGGGTGGGGCCAGTCAGAGGTGGTATTTACCGGTTCTTCGGACTACATGTTCTCCAGAACTGGTGAGAACCTGCTAAATACCATCTCTAATTTGGTGGCTGTTCTAAGAAGTCAGTGCTATCAAATTTTTGATTTAAGATGATTTCTTCCCTCGGACCAGCCTCTTTTCTGGCTTCATATTTTTTCTGAAATCTGGGTAGAAGTAAAGGAGGGCACTTGTAGGAGAAGTTGTCAAGGGGAGACTTTGTAAGACAGAATACGGTGCTGAATGAACATACAAAATCTGCCTGGCATTTTAATTGCTTTTCCCTAGTTTGGAATTACAGTGCAACTCAATTAAAATTAAAACATTTTAAAAACAAGGAATTTGATTTGTGCATATTTAAAAACACATCCTTTAAAACTTTGGGATGAAGGTTATCAAAATTAAAAATAGGCAATGTAAGAGGGTTTGCCTTAAGATAGTGCCATCAAGATGAATTTTTGCATAGTTGAGGAGAATTGTGCCATATGTTGGAATGTTAGAAAAAAAATGCTGGCACATGCTATATAATGGTGCCTGGAATTAGAATAGGTACTGTTGTAGTACTGTGAATGAAATATTTACATGCGGAGTGGTTTCAAGCATGCATTTGTGGAGAACTATGTAAGTTGGCAAAAGGAGAAAATATTTTGGGGAGGTGGGGGGAAGCATGAAGAGTTGGAAGGAGACCAGAAAAGGTACCCTTAGAGTTGAAATTCCTCAAGGAAGAACAAATGCTGGATAACTGAACTGAGGGTGTTTCCATTCTGCATTGCAATGTTTTGTGGATGTACCTCCTTGTTCTCAGTTTTTGGTAGAAAGATAGCAAAACCTTTCAAATTTGCAGAGTCTAACTAAATTCTTCTGTTGCTGAAATGAAAGATTAGCATATTTGATTTTCCAGGAGTATGCAACAATTGCTAGATTATCCAGAAGATGATGTGGAAGATACCTTCTGCCTCAACTTTACAGTAAGCATTATCTGTTAGCACATGCAGCAGTTCATTTCAAAGTGGAATTAATATTAATCTACAAATAGAATACTTTATTGATCAAGTGTGATTAAACACAAGGAATTTGTCTTTGGTGCATAAGTCCTCAGTGTACATGCCAAAACAGCAAAGTAATAATATTCATAATAACATAACTATATATAATTAAAACATAATTGCAAAGGGTAATCATAATAATGCTACCTATAGAGAAGGTAGTGGAACAGATGAGAAGGATAAAAGTAATATGGCCATACTACATGAGTATGTATGTTTCTGTCTTGAGTTAAAATTAGATATGATGCTCCTTACAAAGCAATGTTGAAATCTTCTGCAAGCAAACAATAAGATACTGGTTCTCTCCTGAACAGATCACGGTTGAAAACTTCGGTGCCACAGAAGTTAAAGAGCTAATTCCAAACGGTGCCGATATCTCTGTTGTCAAACAGAATAGGTAGGTTGTAATAGTATATTTCATTTAGCATTTTATCTTTCTACTTTTAATTCAAAATTAACTAAAAGGAACCAAGGCATCAACACACTAATGAAGATCAGATAGTCCTCTCTGATTTCATAAATTGTGGCTTATGAAGCTGGGAATGAGCACAGGCTTAAGTTTGCCTTCTGTTCTTAATTTTTGTCCTCCGTCCTGTGATGTGCATGAAACCAATAAAGCAGCAAGTGTTATGTTTAGTTAACCTACTTTAAATCAGACATAAACAGGATGTTTGGGCTTTTAATGTATGCTATAAATGAAGTTTTAGAGTCAGGAGGAGAAACGGCACTTCCAAAACTATATCTGTCCATGATTTAGCTGAATTCAGCCTTACTTGACTGAATATTTTGTAGAATATTCCATTGAAGGAAGACAAAATGTTCATAAGAAAAGAAAAATTGCCATTGCTAAATGGATTGTGTCCTGAATCTTTCTAAATGGCTTTTCTTTTAATCCGGTTTTAGGCAAGAGTTTGTGGATGCCTACGTGGACTATATCTTCAATAAATCAGTGGCTTCTCTCTATGATGCATTCCATGAAGGTTTTCACAAAGTGTGTGGCGGTAAAGTTCTTCAGCTGTTTGAGCCTAATGAACTGCAAGCAATGGTGATTGGGAACACCAACTACGACTGGAGAGAACTAGAGAAGGTGGGTGGCTCTGTCAGAAATTAGCTGCTGTTCAAGAATTTAGCCTTCGGATTGCCAAGATTATTTTCCAAGATTTCTTGTCCTTCCCTGGTAACAGAGAATGTGGTTACAAAAAGCAAAGAAAATTAACTCACTATAGACATCGAACCCTTATGGTTGGTGGTAAATGTTCAAATAGTGAGCTAGAAAATGAAAATTATGCATGGTGCAGTCCTTTTCATGTTTCCCCAAACATCCCACGATAAATATCATTTACGTTAATAGAAGATTACAGCTGAAGTTTTTAAATAGCTTATTTAAGCATGCATATTGCACAGTTCTTTACAGTGTCCTTGCCTGTACTTCAATGCTTCTTTGGTGGTCAACATAGTCTACCATTTGCAGGGGAGAAGGAAGAAAGAATCCCAGAGACAATGTTCTTTAATAGTGTGATTTTGATTTTTTTTTTTTTTTCTCCTTAGAATACTCAATACAAAGGAGAATATTGGGCAGAACATCCAACAATTAAATTGTTCTGGGAAGTTTTTCATGAGTTATCACTGGAAAAGAAGAAACAGTTTTTGTGTAAGTATCTTCATAAAATCAATACATCTTGACCATGGAGTTCAGAGATGGTATTGACTTCCCTTCCCTACCGGTTTGCAAATATGAGCGTGTGCATATCCACACATGTGCTTAGCATCTGCACATGCACTTTGGCTAAAAAAGGGGGCCTAAATGGGATGCCTTAGAGCTGGGGAGGGTAGGCGTGGCCACCCGCAATTTCTGCTACTGGTTCAGGTGAACCGGTCCGAACTGGCGTTCTGATTGGGATCCTATTTTGCATGTAATGCTAAATCTATAATGCTAAATCTATA